GGGGAGACGCAATATCGTTGAAGTTATTCATTGCATGTCTGGAAGAGGCTTGCAAGACATTCAGTTGGAAAAACGGGGGCTGAATCTAATTGGGCACTACTTAAGTCATGAAGGTTTGCGGGCGATATTTTGGTATTCTCAAGGTCGTTAAAAAAACTAGAATAAAGAATCTAATGGCTAAGCGAGTCAGCATCAAATTGAGGCTGAAAATCAACCAGAAAGACTCAGGTTATGCTGAATAAATACGTGACTTATTTATGACTCTCGCAGACCTCATCTCTGCAAATCAGAATCCACTGTGTGAAATCAACAGAAGAATAGAAGTGACATTTTGGAAGATTTAAAATGTTCTAATCCGGAAAGCTCCTCTCTGCTTGAATGGGAAGGTATTCGACCAATGTATGTTCCCTTTTCTAACCGATGGATGCAAAGCATGAGTTCTGAGACTTAAAGCTGTTCATCAACTGTAGACTGTAGACACGACGTAGCAGGGAAAGGTGTATGTTTGGAATGGGTGAGAGCACAAACAGGGGCATGCGATGTTATTGCCGGGTGAAGAAATACCGACCATCTTTGGACCAGACAGAGTTGACTGAGGTTCCAAAAGCGAGTAGACTGCAGGTAGTACGATCTCGCGATTGATGACAATATGAACTGAAAGAAGTTCGTCGAATGAAGATGGTTAGGAATCGTACAGGACAGATATTCATAGTAAAATGTTGAAGAAGCCTTCATCCAGTACTGAATCGAGGAAGGCTGATGATGATTCGTTTTTATAGTCTGATATTCAGAATTGCGGGGGCAGCGGCTTTTTGAGGGTTGGCCAGTTTTCTGACCCTGGTCCTCAGAAAATCGAACAGCGTCCATAGGCAGAATTCGAGAACACAGAGATGTCATAAATTGAATGCATATCTAAAGCAGCTGACCACTTGTCTGCTGCTTTGCGAAAATGGTCAGGAGTACACATATTTTCATCTCACTGTTTCATGGAGCTCGTCGTCCGTCACTCAGCATTACCGCGATCTTAAACGATTCTCTTTCGGTAAAAATATTGGGACCACGTCGAACGAGTCAAGTTTTGTCAAACGTGGCCGAAAAACTTCGAAATAGGCTGCATAAAAAGTAAAATCGACAAATATCTATTAAGGCAGTAACGGTTAACGACGATTTAGCGAACAGTCAGAAAACAGGTCAAAACCGTGTTGTGCCTGACACTGACTTCCGACGAACAAAGATGACGACCGTTCGAATTTCGTAGTCTCACAAAGCTGGAAGAGGTAAACATCGACGTGGCGAGTCTTTCGACGAATCGATATCGTTCGAAGAATATACACAGATTGTCACACAACTGCCC